CTGAAAAGAGCTTAGTACTGAATTTAAGCGGTCTAATAACCGTCTTTTATAAAAGAGGGTCAGAGGACCGTTCAAATGACCCCCTACCTGCCTTTAAGGTAGCTGCTGGGTACTTGGCGCTGTTCTATTTTTGCGATTGGATTCTTCCCATTGAATTTTTGGGATTTTGGAAGTAGTCATTGTCTATACGTATGTACCAAGACGGCGAGATATTATTCTGATGCACCGTATGAGATGGCTACTGGAGAATATTCTATTCAGCGGTACGACTACTTAAGGTACGGAGTAAGTGTGTTGGCCTCAGCCCACAGGCTACTTAGGTGCATAGACCACCAGTGGAGGAGGCTATATAGCCTCACGTGAGACTGAGCTCTCCATTCGCTTTGCAAATCAATCCGAATCAGAATTCAAATCAGAATCCGAATCATAACTGGGTTCCTCTCCCTGTTTTCCAGCCTCTCCACTAATACCCCAAGATTCCCAATTGACGGTCTCGTCCGAATACTCTGTCAGCCCTTCCGCTGTGTCAAAGCACCGGCCCCATAAATCCAAATCATCGTCATTTACCACGTTCGTTGGAATAAGCATTTGTATCATATACTCTCTCATGTAGATATATGAAAAGCGTAACGCTTTCTCGGGATTGTTCACCAATGTCCTGATGTAACCCAGGATCAAATATGGAGGGGTCATCCAATAGTTCCTTGGGATCCATACTTTGCCGATTGAGTTGAACTTCTGTGCATCCGCTTTAATAACACAGAACCATTCGTCGTCTGAAGTGTACCAGGTGGCAGCTTCGTTTGCTATTTAAATTTATTAACTTCCGCGAAATAAATAACGACATATATGAATCAACTCACTCATATAAAAGCCAGGTCCTAATTGAGACTGATCTGGGGATATGTTATCGTAGTATATATTTCTAGTTGGCTTGTTGTTTTGATTTATGGACATGGCTTCCGCCTATAATTTGAGTGATTAATATAAGCTCATAATATATGAGTCAAGTAGAACTTACTTCAGAGACTGTTCGATAGCCGATGACAATCCTTCCTTGAGCTTGATGAAGGAGAAAGATGAAGGCGAGCAAGATCGCGCAGATAGACTTCGATGGTGCCATGGTGATTCGTGTAAGAGAGGTAAGAAAAGCTTGCAAAGGAAAAGGATGATGGAATCAAGTCTGAAGCAGGTGCAAGAAGAATTATATATGTATTTATTTTCTTAAACCGTACTCGAAATCTCTACGTGGGCTATAAATAATCTTGCGGCTAATAACAATCAGCGCAGTGACTAATGTGTTTTTTTGTCTCTTTATTCTCAAACTGGCACGGATAGATTTTTGCTGTGTTTTGGCTCGTGCCACCCTTGGGATGCTGCTGCCTTTAATTCATCGGATCACCGACCCGGGATACCCAGCCGACTCGGGATACCCAACCGACCCGGGGTCCCGGGACAGTGAATTTCGCCCTTATTAAGCACTACGTAAGTTGACGTAAATGGCAAGCAGCTTACGTTATCTCAAAGCGAGCTTGGGAATGCTTCTACTTGCGTACGTAGTATAATGCAAATAAGAATATTTCATAGAGTTTTCAGAACATCTTCCCCTCTTCCCCTATATAGGCTCTCCGGTAATACAAAGCTCGCAAGCTCGCTTTGATAAACTCGATATAAAATCAACTACTCATCATGTCGTTGATGTTTTTGCATGAAAACATATACCGTATTATTTTTAATGTTAATCAATTCTTACAATTTTAATTGTGTTTCGTTTGTCCATCATTACGCTATAGTAAAGTAATAAGATAGTACTTTTGATATGCCTTTTCGTATTATAGGTTCCTGCGCTAACTAAGCTTGGCGTGTCTAGATTCTCAACCTCATCAAATTCGTAATCGATACATCTATTACTATTTCAAAGGCAGGTAAGGGTTGTTTAGACTGTCAGCTGCTTATTCGTTGACAATCTCTTTTAAGGACGGTCTTAAGAGGTTAGCATAGCTAGTAGATCACCCCAAGTCTATATCTAGAAAAATCGAGTAAGGTCTGAAAACAACAATTTAAATTATTCGAATCGTAGCTGAGATGAGATTAATTAGATCGATCAAATCGTCTCATATTAGAGCTCGTGTTTTCGTTAAAAGATTATTACTAATGTAAGACCGTTCTAATCGGCTGACACATCGTTTATAAAAAGTCGGTCTTTTTACCAAAAGACTACCCTAGGACCACCGTCTCAGGGCCGTCTCCGAACCGAAAACCGTCCTCGAGAACTTATATTAGTAAGCAAATAATCATTCGTAGGTGAATAATTTGTTGCGTCTTGTTCCCATTGACCTTGGCACCCCCTCCCCCCCCTTGTCCCATCCATCCATCTTGTTATGTGCAAGATCTGAGTGAGGTTGGATCAAATCTTGCTGAATTGATCGTTTCCAATTTTAAATAATTTACAGCGTTGAAGTTCAAGCCGTAATAGCGATATCGAGATATATCTTGACACGAATATTTAAGATTACGAAACCAAAACTATATTTGAATAGATTTTAGTGCCGAATCTTAATCAAAACGATACTGGGTACTAGAAAAATGAGTTTTGTATTTTTATCGCATTTCATGTAAGATGATTAATGGACTGTTTAAACACTTAAAATAAGCCCTTTAATAAGCATAATTTGAAAATCTGGACGCGGACGGCCAAAGGACGACCAGGAAACGGTGCCTTTCAATGGGACGGTCTATTCGGTAAACTATTCCTGAATCAAGTTTAGTACGGAATTCAGACTGCCCAATGAACGTCTTTTGTAAGAAGAGGCTCATTGGACCGCTGAAGGGACCCCATAGCTGCATTTCAAGTATTAATATCGAATATCATTTACGCTTAGCTAACTATTCATAGTATTGCAATCTCTCTTTCCAATTTAAAAAGCTGGCTGTCTTATCAGTCCAATTATGTAGAAAGTATGATATTCTGACTTACGGAATTTGACCGAAAACGTGCGATACATATCCATCTCCTTTGCAAAGATGCTCAAGTTGACTACTTCTTTCCACGAAGCGAGCCACGACCGCAAAAGAAAAAACCATCAGTAAACTAATTAATATGAAATATATTAGTCTTGGTATATGGCTAGATGACATGTCTCGCGCGCGGTGAACAGATAGGTATCTGTCTGTTTTGCGAATGCGTTTTCTTTTTTAGCGCGGCCATCTCGAAGCGCCAACTGCAACGTATACCCCACTCTCGCAAAAGTATACATCAGCACAGGTGAGAAAGTCACGAGAGCAGTCCGCGAAAGCTGTCAGTAAATTTGAAGGGAAAAAACAAACGGTTCTTACCGATATCGTTACTATTTGCTCACTTGCGATATAGAATATGGCGTACCTCTGGCGTGGCAGCGTGGCCATCATCATTTGCCTAATTACATACTTGTGTGTAGCGGTCGGATCCCAGCATGGTCGGAGGTCGAGGAAAGCGCAGCAAGCACAGGCTATGAAGCAAGCCTACCGGTCTATGCAGAGACGGACTACTGGCTCTGAGGAAAAAGTCGCGAATGGCAACGTATTCTCCACCTGCTCCAATGATCTTACGTCGCCAGGCTGATCATCTATCTATCCAGACGGGGGCTGCAGCCGGCAGAACCGAGACGATGAAAATCAGTCAGGTAGGTATGAGCGATGCGCGCATCCTCGTGGCTTATTGGCTACATCGCTAACTGGGGAAAAGCTCTGGATATACCCCATAAAGTCACTTCGCGGGTGTCAAGTCCCAGCCGCCATGTTGACACGAGAAGGGTTCTACCTCGACCGGCGCTTCATGCTCCTCAAGGACCACGGGCAGAGTCCCCCCAAGCTCGAGAACATGGCCATCGCCAAGTTCGCACGCATGTGTCTCTTCCACACCTCGATCAGAGACGGTACCCTGATCGTTACCTACCGGCCTCCGGGCTCGTCGATATCTGGCAGCTGCGAAGCCGATAGCATCGAGATCCCGCTGGATCCAGAATCCTATGAGGGTTTGAGAAAGATCCCCGTTGTCATGCACGGGAGTCCGACGACGGGGTACGATATGGGTGAGAGGTACGGGGAATGGCTCTCGAGACGTTTCGGGTTTAAGGTGATTCTAGCTTTCTGGGGGGGAAATCCTCGTCCTGTCCTCGGCAACCTCCCTGTAGGCAAGTCTCCGAATCTAGGACCGACGCCAAAACACGTCGTCACAGAAATGTTGAGTGCGGTTCCATTCATAGGAGCGATGCTCCGTCAAGATGACGATGATGACGATGATGGAATTGCTTTCAACGATTGCGCCCCGTTTCTTGTCATCAGCGATACTTCAGTCGCGGACGTCACCACTCGCTTGCCGGCAGACGTAGAGATGGACCTCACGAAGTTCCGCGCCAATATTGTCGTCGCGGGCTCTCCTGAACCGTACGCTGAGGACTACTGGGCTGAGCTTGCGGTTGGAGACGATGGCTCCCACATCATCCTGACGGCCAACTGCGCGAGATGCAAGAGTCTAAACGTGGATTATCACACCGGGGAGAGCGGAACCGGGAGAGATGGTGAGGTCTTGAAGCTGTTGCAGAGTGACAGGCGAGTCGATCCAGGAATGAAGTACAGTCCCATCTTTGGCCGATATGGCTTTGTCGGTAAGGGAGACGTGGGAAATGTGTTGAAGGTGGGTGATGGGGTTGTGGTTACGAGGAGGAATGAGGAGAGGTCGAAGTTCTGTAAGTTATCAAATACTATCTGCGCCGGCTTGCTTTGCACAATATGCTGATCGATCTTGGATAGACTGGCCGGGGATCTCTACGCCTTGGGAATGACTGGAGAATGATTCTCTCTGGTGGTTTCTGATGTGTTTTTGCCTTTACCTCTTGATCTGGAGTTTTTCGCTTGATATGTATTGCAGCAGCTGCTTTACATCTCAGCCGTCCGTCCATGAACCTCCGCGTCTACAACCCTGATATCTATTTATATCTAAGGGATGGGATGATATCACCGGCTGCAAGGGTTAGGTTTGGTAGGTAGATATTCTGGGCTATATGAAAGTTGGGTTACAGTGAGTGGGGTCCTTGGATCGCGAGAAGGAAAGAAAAGTGGAGATGAAGATGGAAATATGGCAGATAGTTGAATTCTTTGGCGTTGTTGCTGTTCCCCAAGTTCTTCTAGTGCCAACGCGCCAACGCGCCAACGTATACAAGCTTGATTGGCACTTCCCATGGCAGCGGGTCGGTATCACTGCCACCTGTCCCGTCCGAAACCTGGCCAATGGGGGGCGGGCATCGAGGTGCACACACCAGGTCAGCCAAGGAGCTTGGTCCGGTGCTGCCAGGATGATGAAGCACGGCCGAGACATCCATAAATAATAATTCTACTGCCCACTCATCTGCGCAACCAGACTCTTTCAAACAACAACCACAACATCACGAAAAAGAATCCCCAACACATCAATCATCATCATGGCGAGCGTCTTCCGCCGAGCAAAGAAAGATCCCTCCCTCGAGGCAGGAAACTCCGAGCAGCTGCGGAGCCCGCCCTGGGACTATCCCACCACCACTAACAGCAACAGCAATTCCAACTCCGCCGCCCAAGAAAAGACCGCCGACAGTCTTACGAACCGCAATGGTGAGCAGGTCAACCACAATGGCCACAAAGTCACGGCTGGAATCAAACCCGAAGGGGAGAGCGGTCGCCGCGGATTTCATCCAGTGCATTTCGTCAAGATCTGCTGGTCATCTACAAGTTACGTCTCCCGCGCCGTCAACGTCCTCTGGCCCGTGGTGCCCGTGGCCATCGCGGTGCGATATTCTCACAAGGATCTCCATACGGCCATCTTCGTCCTGAACTATATTGCCATGGTGCCAGCCGCGAACTTGATCGGCTTTGCAGGACAGGAACTGGCGAGAAAGCTGCCCAAGGTGTTTGGCGTGCTGTTGGAGACGACGCTGGGATCCATCACCGAGATTATCCTCTTTATGGTGCTGCTGACGAGATCAACGCCCCTGTACGACGTGATCAGGTCTGCGATCTTAGGATCCATTCTGGCGACGTTGCTTCTCTGTCTGGGGATGTGCTTCTTTGTGGGGGGCTTGAAGCGAGAAGAGCAGAGTTTCCACTCGGCAGTTGGTGAAGTTGGTAGTGGCCTGCTCTTGACTGCGTACGTGTTGGAACCTATCTTCCCATTCTCCACTTGCAGTGGTCTCCTTGGGAGCTGGAACGATGCTAACAAACTCGCAGCGGGCTTGGCCTCAGCGTGCCGGTCGTTTTCTACGCTGCCTTGGCCAACAGCGACCTCATCACAAGCGCCCAACAACTCGATGACAAAGTTGTAAACATCTCCCGCATTGCTGCCATATTCCTGATCGTGGCATACGCATTCTACGTCTGGTTCCAGATGCATACCCATCATGGGCTGTATGACGACTTGTTCGAACAGGACGAGCAGAACGACGCAGACCGCCACAAGGATCTCCGCAAGCCCAAGCTCACTTTTACGGAATGCGTGATTGCGCTCGCAGTCTCCATTGCACTAGTAACGATTATTGCTATCGGTCTCGTCGAGCAAATCGAGCCGATCATCCAGAACGGAGGCGTTTCGGACTCATTCATGGGCCTGATCCTCGTTCCGATTGTCGAAAAAGCCGCAGAGCATCTCACTGCTAGTACGTACCACCTTTGAGCACCCTCTTCTGCTAATGGTGTTCACCTCCCTCCGTCCCCCAGTCCCGGAGACGGATACTCCCGAACTTCTCTCTCCGCGGACACCGTGCTAACCACCCCAAAACAGTGGACGAAGCCTGGGACAACCAGATGAACTTCGCCCTCAGCCACGTCCTCGGCGCCACCATCCAGACGGCGCTCTTTAACGCCCCCCTCGTCATCATCGTCGCCTGGGGCCTCGACAAGCCCATGGATCTCAACTTTCACCTCTTCGACATAGTCATGCTCATCCTGGCCATCCTCGTCGTCGGCAACTTCCTCCGGGACGGAAAGTCGAATTACCTCGAGGGCGTGCTGTGCGTGATCGTGTACATGATAATTGCTGCGGCCGCCTACTACTACCCGAACCCGCTGGAGGCTGAGGACGCTGAGTCGGCGACGGGAGAGGCGGCGACGGGAGAGGCGGCGGTGGCGGTGGTGAAGAGGATGCTGAAGGGCGGCGTTGGGGCATGAAGATGCCAGATGCGTGGTTAGGGGACTTAAAATGTGAGCGACGGCGTTGATTGCGAGCGACGCCGTTGAGTTGGAGAGAGATCAATTGACGTTGAGCTTCCATTCGGGTCAGTAGTTCTTTTACTATAGTGAAAAGGATGCCTTCAATGCCTCGTTGATACCCCTTGCCACGTGTGTAACCAACGCCACACGCCTTGGTTATTATATTCAGAGTCAATACTTGCAGTTTAGGCAAGTATTGAGTCTCTTTTGGAACTATCTCTTTGCACCTACCACCTACCTACCTAGTAAGTCCACCCACCACCTTTCTCTACACAGGAATAATCGATCCGACTTTTAACACTGACAAAAAAAAAAGAAAAAGAAAAAGGTGGACCAGACTCAAGCTCGTGAGAAGCTCGCACGCACAAAGTGCTGGCTGGTAATTGTTATATTTACTAGATGCCCGTGCTTAAATAACTCTCCCTCTTCCTTTTCGGCAGCTCCGTTCTTAGAAAATTAAGCGAGAATTTGATTTGATCTGAAGGATTGACTGACTAACTTACGGCCCCGTTCCGGTTCGGCCACTCGTCTATTACATAGTAACGGTCGTTATTTTTTGATTAATGGAAATAGGGAGGGGGGGAAGTAGCTGAAGGTAGGTTAGTACCTTCTGTCATGAGTTATAAAGGCCATGTTGACTTAATGACTGACCCGTTTCTTTCCCCCCTTTTTTTTTCGTTCCTTTTTCAGACGTGCAAATCTCGCGCGGGCGGTGACGCCGCCGCCGCCGCCGCCGCTCCCGCTCCCGCTCCCGCGGGCCTGCTATGCACGTGTCCGTGTCCGTGGCTCCTCTGCCAGGCCCTCGCCTTCCTCACGGGCCCCGCCCAGCGCTCATCCTCAAAGACGGTGGCGACCTCCTCCAGCGCCATGCCCTTCGTCTCGGGCACGGCGGCGGCGACGAACAGCCAGCAGGCGAGGCCGAGCGCGCCGTAGATGACGTAGGTGCGCGTGCCGCCGAGGGAGCGGAAGGTGGTGAGGAAGGTTGCCGAGACGAGGATGTTGGCGGTCCAGTTGCTCATGGTGAGCAGCATGGCGCCGAAGGGGCGGAGGTCGGCGGGGAAGAACTCGGTGGAGGCCCAGGGGGCGTTGCCGAGTGCGGAGGCGTAGGAGGCGACGAAGAGGAGGGCGGAGGTGAGGATTAGGGTGGTGGCGAGGGGGCTGCTGGTGAAGGGGGGGGAGGGGAAGGGGGGGGGAGGGGGAGGGGATGGAGTGCCAGGCGATGGCTGAGAGGATGCTTGCGATGATCTGGTCATGGTGTTAGCGGATGATGGTATTGGTATTGGTTTGGAGTCGGGGTTGGTTGGTTTTGGTTTGGTGTGGAAGAGGACTTGAAAAAGGGGCGGAAAAGGGGCGGAAAAGGGAGGAAAAGGGAGGAAAAGGGAGGAAAAGGGAGAAAAGGGGGAGAGAAGAAAAAAAAAGCTCACCATCCCGGGTATGGAACACAGCATCATCCTCCGCTTTCCGATCCGGTCAACCATGGGGACATAGATGGCCGTGAACACGACATTGCACGCAATGATCGGAAGCGACAACTTCTCTGGGTTCTTGACCCCAGCATGCGCCAGCAGGGTCGGCGCGTAGCACATCAGCGAGTTGAAGCCCGTCACCTGCGAGAACAGCATGAGGAGACACGCGACGAGCAGCTTCCGCCGCTCCTGCCGGGTGGCCGTTAACCTTTTCAACTTGTCCCGCAGCGTACCGCAGGCCCTCTCGCGCTTCTCCCTGACCAGCGTCTCGATTTCCGCACGGGCTTGCGCGCGGCTGGCTCGGGGGTTGAGCCTCTCCCATATCTTCGTCGCGCGTTCTGCAGCATCGGGCCCGTCTTCGCGACTGACGATCTCGTGGGGCGACTGCGGGACCAGCGGCAGTAACACGGCGAGGAGAACGTTGAACGTGGCGCCGATGGCGACGATCGCTCTCCACCCGTTGTCGACCGCGCGGAGACCGGTCCCGATCCCGTAGGCTATCAACTGAGACGTGGTGACAACCATGGTCCAGAGCCCCAGCATGGCACCGCGCTTATCCGCCGGTGCTAGCTCGGCGATGTACATCTACCCAGGTCGTGAGAAAGCATGTCTTTTTTCTGCGTTTGGGGACGGGGGGTCTGGGTAGAGTAGGGGGCCATGAAACATACGGGGATGACAGTCGATACGACACCTGTACTCAGTCCGGCGATGAACTTCCCCGCGAGGCTCTGGCCGATCGAGTTGGAAGTGCACTGGATGATGATCCCGATGGTGGAGAAGCCGATTCCGACGTAGATTGCGCGGCGCTTGCCCAGCCTGTGTGCGGCAGCGGCGCCCGTGAGGCAGCCGCACAGGGCTCCCACGAAGTCCAGCGTGGCATAGACCTGTTTGTGCTCCGGCGAGACCTCCGTCCCCAGATCGTTGCCGACGTTGTTGAAGACCGCTGCGGTTGTACCGGTGTCGTATCCTGAATATGGTTTTAGCTAGCTAGCGCCAGGTCATGGTGATATGCTGCTATATCTATCTGGCTTACCGAAAAGCGTGCCTCCAATGCTCAGTATGAGGGCGCGAAGCCAGGCGTAGATATCTTTTTGGGGTTTGGGAGGAACGCGATCAAGAGCGGTAACGAGAGGTGGGAGAGGTGGGGGAGGTGGGGGAGGGGGAGAGGGGGAAAGAACGGTCTTTTTGCATAGCAGAGAGCTAATGGTAGCTTCACTGGAGGCGGCGGATTTGACCAATGTCTCGTCGGTACCTGACGATACCGAGTTCGATTGGGTCCTGATGCCAAAGCCTGGACATTCCGTCGATGAGTTAGCCATACAGGTCGCGAAGTGTGATGTGGAGAGGAGAAGGGGGTGGAACCGAAAAATCCCTTCTGTGTATCCGATTCCTCTGCAGGCTTTGGAGGTACACCTCTCATCGGAATCGCTTCAGAAGCCGCTTTATTAACGCGCATCGTATCTGATTTCCTTTCTTCTGCCGTTGCCGTTTCGGGTCGCTTGGTCATGGTTCTTGGAGGGGATGCAAGTAAGATCTTTGTACTTCCCCCGACCTCTGGTGATCAGGCTTATATATATATATATATATGGATTTGGCGGTGGCTTCCCATCATGGGTGATGAAGAAGTATTAAATGAACGAGTCTGATACTTCGGAAAGCTATAGTATGTTAGTGTGGAATGAAGTGAGGGGGTCACCTCGACAGCCAGATACACACACCGATGTTGATCATTAAGCGAGGGCTCTAAGACTGGTATAGGGGCCTAGACTATAGAAAAAAACAGCCTTCATCACACTAGATCACGAGATCGTGCGCCTGGCCGACCTCTAGTCCATAGAAAAGGATTTAGGTATGAGAAGTGGTTGACCGAGGGAGAGGAGAGGAGCGAAGCCGAGCTAATGACACCAGGCGCTAATCTGGATCTGGATCGCGCCTTTCAAAACATCCATCAAGGTGAAGAGAAAGCCGACGTCCTCAACTACAAGTAAGCGACGCACCCGCCTTGACTTGTACAAGTCGTCAGAGCGAAAAAAAAAAATCTTTTTTGAGAGCGTCATAGAGTTTTCTTCCCATTTAGCATTTTGAATTGGTGGGCTCAAAGCATTAACATCGAACATCGAACATCGGGCACCAGATAGAGAGATGCCTCGATCAAGAATCTCTTGGTTACGGAAGAGATGTATGATCGAGCCCTGGTATGGAATCTTTCCGCCTCGCAATTCTAAGAATACTCGAGGTCATGCCTTTTTTACGACACTTACCTATTCGTTATGGCCTGTATATCAAGCGATACTCATACGAACGAAGCTATTTGACATGCAGACAAGCTGAGAATATATAGTCGTCGGTTTCGCCTCCCCCTGCTTGCCCTACGTACATCACCACCAAACCCCTAGTAGTAGTTGGATTATCTGGATTGTCGTAAATGATGATTTGTCGCTGACGTACTCATCCTTTTCTTGGTTTTTTTAACATTAAAGAAAACATACTTCGTTATTATTCCGAGTAATCGTCGGTCACCTTGAATTTAATTCGAAAGAATTGACCGACTTGCTGTAGCAAGTCGGCACCACCAAGGCGGGACAGTAAAATTCGCTCCTTTATAACGAATAGAAAATCAACCAACATTATATCGTAATTATTTCTGCATAGAAGGATGCACCGTATCAATTTTGATATTTATCAATTAATTGAATTTGAGTTATAAGTTGTTATTCTTCTATTATGTTGGTTAAAGTAGTAAAAATGATACTTTTGAAATGTACTTTTCGACCTTACTTGTGCGTATATGTTAGAATTGCTGTGTAAATACTAGAATAAGCGAAGAACACGAAAATCGGACTTTTATTTAAACCTATCAAAACAATACGTGCATCACTATCAACTTTTATTTAATAATTGACACCTTCAATAATATAATAGATTAGATTATTTGTTTTCGATCTACAGGACGTTTTATTAAATTAAGGTTGTGGTTATTAAGATATTCGAAGCAAATGAGTAAAGTTGAATCATTTGGGACAGTTTCTAATTATATCTTTACTACATTTTAATGTATTAGATCACCACAAATGAATGCGGTTTTATATTCTTAATTTTTGTTTGTAAAGCAAAGTTTTCTAAGCATATGAAGATTCTTTTTCCCTTATTTATATTAATAGTTGTTGCTTAATAAGTGGTATGCCGTTACTGTCCCGCCTTGGTGGTGCACCAGGTCGGGATTTTTTACAAATTAAATTCAAGGTAACCGACGATTATTCTAGATAAGAATGCAAGTACTGTTAATAATATTCTAAAGCCAAAAAGTACTTTCGAATGGCGAGATAACGTAAGCAACAAATAATTTATGTACGACAGTTCAGATGTTCCGACTATTACTAATACTAAGGGTTTGGTAATGATATAGGGCAAGTAGGGGGAGGCAATTGTGTAGCCTACGGTGAACGACCAATGGAGTCAGTCTTTTCAAATTTTGGATTATCGGTCGTCAGGTTAGCAGGAAAATTGATAAAGTGTCTCTAGCTTGAAAATAGTCTGTTGGTGATGTGATTAGAGTCATCAAAGTAGGTACCGGTGCAGCACCAGAACAGGTCTGAGAGGAAGCTATACGGAGTACCGGTGTACAAATATGTGCGGCCAAGGATCGCTTAGCCCTACGGAGTAAAGGAGCTTGAGCCTGAGGCGTGACCGGTCAAAAGAGTCGAGTCGTCACAAAAGGGGGTAAGGACGGACCCTGAAGATAGATTGATCAATTGGCCAATAAGCCGCACGATATTGCGCTTTATGGGATCCACAGCCTCCGCAGGACAGGGTCTTCCCGCTCGGACTTGAAGGCCGATTGCGAGATTTTCTAAGTCGACACTAATAAGTACCGTAGTTGATTGACACAGTAGCAAATCCTATCTTGTTTGTAGCCTCATACTGTATCGTAAACATTAACCTCACCCTCGCCTATATTCGCTAATTTGAAGCTATTCCTAGACTTCCCTCTTCGCCGCCCACTATGGTTTTTTCGCTATCATTTCGAGAGCAGTCCGAATACATCCCCCTCTGTATCAAATTTCTCTTCTGAAGACGCGCAACATCTTTTCCCAGATCTGACCACGCGGTTTGCGAGAGAGCTATGATAGTAGTATATCTTTTTCTTCATTCTTGAATGTCTACAACATCGCGACTTCACTGTAATTCTGCTACCAAATTATACTACTCGTTAGCAAAGCTTAAACAGTCGGGCCGGCGTTAAACCTAATCCCGCACGGCATTCGCCTCAACCAGCTCGCTTGCACTTGCTTGCTTTTGCTTTCTGCAGCACCGACTTCATAGACATCCTTTTCATTTCTTTCGCCCAAAACCACCATTTTCGCCCAGCAGATGCTGCTTTCCTGGGACTCCAGGGCACACATGATGTCCAAGGATTTCAGGGATAACATTTCGGGATGGTGAGTGTGGCGCCCGCACAGTCTGTGCCACAGTCCTGCGCAGCTCTATCCGTATGGCATTGGATTCGAACTCTGCTGACCAACCTCTTCTCATCCAGCCAGGAGTGCAGGAGAAGGCATCTGCGTTGTAACGCCCCCTAAGTCCGCTCGGCTTAAACAAACCGAGAGAACTCTGCCATCGGGGGGGTGTTGGAACATGCAACCAATGGCTGATGTGTCTCAGGTGACAAAGTTACACCCGTCTGCGGTCGATGTGTTCCCCTGGGCGTCGAATGTCTGTGGGGCCGGCCATATCGAAACTACAGGCGTACGTGAGCCCTCCCTTCTTCTCGTCGGCCGCTCTAACTAACCTCCCCCAAACAGATAAGTACCCTGCTGACCAAACCTGGGTCAAAGTGCCCCGGATCATTGACGGTAGGTTCTTCAGTCTACTTTGTTTGCATATCTTCGTTGACCGCTGTAATAGCAATGTGGATAATGGAGCAAGACGTTGGAACTACAGGTTCTGACGACTCTGCCTCGGAAGACGAGGGCAAGAGCCACTTTACGCCGCGGTCTGAAGAAAGTCGAAATATGTTTTCGCCAATCACTCCCACTGGAGGCAATGTCTGCCCGCCCGAATATTCTTATTCGCCACTTAGTACGTACCAAAGTTCTCTCGTTGGAGCCTTTGGAGCCCCTCAAGGCCCTGTAGGGCGTACCCCGATGCAAAGTCCTCTTTCTGGAGCTTTTGGAGCCCCTCAAGGCCCTGTAGGGCGTACCCCGATGCAAAGTCCTCTTTCTGGAGCCTTTGGAGCCCCTCGAGGTCCCGTAGCGCCTATCCCGAACGTGTCATATGTCGTCCGTAATGTCTTCCTCCCACCTGAGTCGCCGGCGAGAGAGATGTCGAAAGGTCAGCCACTCTTGCAGAATAACTTCGATCTTATCCTCCCACCTGAGTCGTCGGCGAGAGAGATGTCGAAAGGTCAGCCACTCTTGCAGAAAATTCTCGATGTCCCAACACTAACAATATCAAAGCCCCGGTGTCGGTGTACTCGAATGATGTAGTTTGGCCACTCAGAGACCCAGAAGAAGCTTACCTGTTCGAGCATTATGTCCAGGAGCTTGCAAGATGGGTGAGTAACGTGCGAACTCTGAGAAGAAAACCGCTTAAGATGCTGACTCGCCATTCTAGCTGGATCTTTGTGACCCAAATCATCATTTCCAGGTACGTCATCATGCACTTTTACTTCCTGGACTTCACGTCTGGTATCCCTTTAACAATGAAATCTGATATTTATTATAGATTGAAGTCCCTCGGCGTGCTCCCAACTGCTCACTTCTACTCAACGCTATTTTTGCGTTGTCTGCACGACACTTGAGTCTTACCCGCAAATATGACAAGGGAGCGTCGAATCGCTATCATGCTCAGTGCATCAAACTTATGATTCCCATGCTGGGCCTCGCGGAAACCAACTCGGATGAGACCCTCTTTGCATCTATGATCGTGCTGCGGGTTTTGGAAGAGATTGAACGTAAGTCCTAACGATCGGTTTTCCGCAGCTTAATAGCTGAAGACGGAATAGTGCTCGTGGGTGAGCCTCAGACATTGAGCCACCTCTCCGGTATCCAGAGTTTCATCAAACTCCATGGCGTGTCCATTATGAAGGGTGGCTTGAGCGAGGTTAGCCGATCTTCTTTTTTCCTCTTCTCCTCCTCATTTTATTCGATGCAGGAGGAATAACATCGTGTCTTAGGAATAGAGACTCCTCCGGAAACTCGTGGCTTTCTGAAGGTTAAAATTATCTTAGTACTGACAAGTCGAATAGGCAGCTTTCTGGGTCGGTTTACGGCAAGAGATATACGTTGCAACAATAGCTGAAAGGCCTATCACCATCGACATGAACGCCTGTCTGGTAGATCGCTCTTACGGACCTACGTCTGACTTTGGCTGGGCAAATAGGTATGTAATTGAGGAGTCCTCTAATTTCTATTCCAGATTGTTGAAACTGCTTCCAGTATATGATCTTTAGGATACTACTGACTCCTCCGTGTCGTACAGAGCTGTCGTCCATCTTGCAGATGTTTTGAACTGTTGCTTCGACGACAGTGGTGTATGTGCGGTCACGTGGACTAGGCTGAGGGAATACAGCGAGCGATGGGCAGAATTGAAGCCATCTTCTTTCACTCCTTACTTCTACAAAGAGGCAGACCGACACAAGCCGGAACCGGATGTGTTTCCCGACATACGGCACACTCACCCATGCCATAGTTCGTGTGCTTTATCCGGCCTTCTCCTAGTTCCACCCGCTGACTATAACTACAGTAATTGGCATTCAGCATCACAAACTCGCTCAGATCCTACTTCTGACGCACGACCCTCGATTACCTCGAATAGGAGGGAGCCGCAGCACTGCGGAGCTTACTGTCAAGGTATGCCCGGTCACATACAGGCCTTGACTATCGATATTGATCTTCTCTCAGTTTGAAACGATGAAGATTTTGAGAGAGCTCTGCGGAATCGGACTGTCGAATCGTGGTGTTGCGCCGGGGCTATTCACCGCATGCATGGGCATCAACATGTGTTAGTAGTGCAGCTCCCTGATGAAACTTTCGACGTGAACAGCCCGCTGACACTCACTTGACGTAATTGTAGGCGGCGATCTCTTCGACGATACCCTCGAACAGGACGCCATCATACGAGTCCTCGTTGAAACGGAAAAGGTGCACGCGAGGCCCACCAAGGCCATCCAGGAGCAAATGCATAAAGCCTGGGGGAGGCTTGAGAAATCTTAGAGAGACAGCTGCTTGCATCGCACTTGAGGGGGCTGTTATTAGGGATAGAATGTTAGAGAGACAGTTGCTTGTTTCGTAATTCCTTACAAAAGCGCGACTGCATTCTTTTTACTACCCTAAATATAATTATTCTCTATACTAAGTATAATTTTAAAAGTCTAGCGCCGTGAGCCAAGTTGAATTCAGCATTGGCCAGGGAGAAAAGATATATACAGGGTAGTAAATAATTGCAGATTGATATCAAATCGAACATATGATCGAACGGCTTATTTCAATCTGCCGGCATGGTTTCAGCCCTATATACATGTGTGTCTTGGTAGGTACGAAGTAGGGCTTTTTGGTATATCTCACATCACTTGACTTCATGCATGAATTTTTTTTNTTTTTTTTTTTTTTGTTCTTTGAATCTTTACAGGATGGCAAAGCATTCGTGGTGGTTGATTTATCAAAATGGCAGTGCCCCTCCCCTTGGCGGAACGCCTAGACCACAACCTAGCGTGTGAACCGAATAATAAAAGAACACTACGCTGGATAGATTTTTCCAAAATCCTGCATATGAAGCAGCAGCTGCTGCTATAATTGCAGGGACGGGACTGATCAGCCAGCCCAAATAAGCCTCCCTTGTCGGTCCACACTAAGCGATATTACCCGAAGCCCTAGTCGCACAAATTTTGAATGCCAATATATTACCAGTGCAGACGTCTGTGATCATGGATTCAATCAGCAGTGATTCAGGTGCATTGGTCTAGCGGTATGATTCTCGCTTAGGGTCCACCCTAATCATTGTATGCGAGAGGTCCCCGGTTCAATCCCGGGATGCGCCCATCCACAACAAATAAACTATTTGTGTCAGCATGGCTTTACTTTCTTTTTTTTTTTTTCGTGAAGTTTTTTTTGGGTTGATACCTACCGCCCTTCTTGGTCGAGTCTCGTTTCACGTAGTCTACATAGGTAGTAAATCGCTTGTCAGGATTGAGGTTATCCATCCACCCTTTTAATGAGTGGGATGACATCTGAGAAGGCACAGCTTGCTTGGGTTGTACGCCGAATCCCTTCTTCCATTGAAGCAGATGTTTCTGACTTTTGAGCAGTGAAGCTCCAACCAAATCAGTGTGGATTTGAGAGCTCGATAGCTTACTCGGATCATTCTGGTGATTTGGTTAGGAAATAGCTTTTTATTTCCAAATCAAATTTGGCCACGGAGATGGATGAGGGATTTTTGCTTCGCTTAAATCTCTCTACCTGGTCTCTGATACTTCATACATGGGATTGATTATTGGATCTATGAAGTCGAAGAAGGCTTCTTGGGACGAAGGCAAGTTCGGATTACCTAATTAGTTGGACCCTTCTTTATCGAGAGTATACCGGTACACAAGCAATACCTATACAACCTAGCAGCCGGAGCCCTCCTTAAAACAGATTATCCGAGATGCCCAGGTCTTAAAAAACGACCCTGGCCTTTTCACTTCTTCGGCGTATGCTTAATCAAGCACGGTTCCGAAATGACTCTCCATTCCGAAGGAAAATGCACTTCTTTCCCGTCAAAAAGTCGGGTATGAGAATACTGCAGGGACTGGGTGGATATGTAATCAGATTTCAATACAGGTTCGAAAAATTGCCGAGAGATCCCCGGAACAGGTTCGCTGTAACGTTGAGTCGTGTAATAACGGCTTCCATCGAACAGATGTCTCCCTGCGAGGTACGCTTTTCGGGGTCTCGCGGCCTAAAAGCCGCAGGTGCATTCACCCGAGTCCCCTGTTACATACAACTGCTCATAATCCATAATTTTCAGACATCCGGGCGCTTTCGATGCCTGCATCCATGTCAAACTTCGAAGTTCTTCGGGAAGCACCGACCGACGCCTGCTCCCCCACACTCCCACGCTACCGAGCGGGACGAGAAGAAGCCATACGGACGTCTGTGGCGTACCTCCTCATCTACAGAGTATCTCACGCGGCTGCATACACGATTTAGTTGCCGCTATTGGTGGCCAACTAGCCAAAGATCCTCGAATTGAAAAAAAACCGCCAGTGAGACTCGCGCCACGGGGTGTCAGGGTGGTACAGGCACCAAATGAGGTCATGCATGCTCAAGATCTGTCTTCCCGGTCTGCATTCCATACTCGCCCTTCTGATTCAAATTTACTTGAAACAGCCGCCTCTCTCGGTCTGCACCTGCTTGACAGAGCCTTTGTTTACCAGGTGTTTTCGTGGGCATTACATCATATATATCAGTGGAGTAGAAGAGTTGGAGTTGGACCTCGGCTAAGAGAGTTGGCAGAGAAGCGAAGAACAACAAAGCGATACGAAGCCCCTTCTCAAAGACGCCTTCCCCCCCCCCCCTCCCCTTGACGAATCACCGCATAGTGCGCTATCAAGATTCTTGCCACGCCTTATCTTGGTAGGAGAAATAATGCTTGTTCAAAATACCCCGGGCATAAGCTTTGACGACGATTCAAGCTATTCGGTCGGAACTGCCGCCGCTCGACGCGATATCGTTCAAAGGGATCGGCGGTTGACCGTCACTCGACGCTCGTTATCTAGATCAGCGGTAGCTATGATCCATAAGCTTCCTTGGCCAATTGTACGGCTTCGTATTGGCTTCTTCGAGGGGGCTGCAAATGTGACAATAGCACTATAGTCTCACTGCGGTCTCATCCGCCTTCTAAGGAAGGAGGGCCTCTGGTAGGTCAGAAAGCGCAAAGGCGTCGGTCCATATCTGCAGCCCACTCGGAAAAAGCCTCCTTGTCATGCCAGTACTTCCGATAAGAACAAAGCCTTGCGGCTTTCTGGGCCGATTTATATATCATCATCGCCTTCGCCCTTTGACACTTCTAGAGCGTATGTGTACATTCGGCGCCACGAATTGACCCTTTATATTCGCGATAATGGATAGATCTGAGGATGTCGAGAAGGCTATCTACGATAACGACAAATACTCAGGCGAGACCTCTCCGTCTCAGCCAGGATACGAGCATGGAGACGTTAAAGAGCATCACGAGAGCTTCTTCTCGGCATTCGCCGTGAATAGCTTCAAGCGCAATCACAATGCTCGAGTGGTCACAGAAGCAACGGACTCGGAGGGTCGTCCACTCCCAGACCAGCCGCCGGCCGAGCCCGCGCTGGCCATGAAGTTGAAGGGAAGGCATCTACAAATGATTGCCATCGGAGGCGCCATCGGTAACGATCTGTCTCGTCAAGCTCGAACACGCAGAAAACTAAGGGGAAATTCTCAGGTACCGGCCTCTTCGTCGGTTCAGGCTCGGCTCTCGCAACCGGCGGTCCAGCATCGCTCATCATAGCATATGGCTTGATCGGTATCATGGTTTACTGCACGGTCCACGCGCTCGGTGAGCTGGCTGTGGCATTTCCCATCGCCGGAGCATTTTCGGTATACTCGAGTCGATTCATCGACCCCGCTTGGGGTTTTGCTATGGGATGGAAGTAAGTGACGAGACCTGCACGCCCACCGAGAGACCGTCTAATTCTTCTCAGCTACGCAACGAACTGGCTCGTCACGCTTCCCCTCGAGCTGACCGCAGCGTCCATCACCGTCTCGTACTGGCCTGGCGCGAAAGATATCAACCCGGCGGCATTCGTGGTTATCTTCTGGATCGTCGTGGTGACCATCAACCTCTTTGGCGTGCGCGGCTATGGAGAAGCAGAATTCGTGTTTTCGATCGTCAAAGTCATTGCGGTGGTTGGATTCATCCTTCTCGGGATCATCATTGCTGCCGGAGGGGTACCCGGAAGTCCGCAGGGGTATCTGGGCGCTGGGTACTGGTATAATCCAGGTGCCTTCAACCATGGATTCAAGGGTCTCTGCTCTGTGTTTGTCACGGCCGCCTTCTCCTTTGGCGGGACAGAGATGGTGGGATTGACTGCGGCTGAGACGGAGAATCCCAGAAAGTCATTGCCATCGGCTGTGAAGCAAGTATTCTGGCGTATCACTTTGGTTAGTTGCCTTCATCTTCACCTGAGGAGGGTATTTCAACTAACAGATTTCTAGTTCTATAGTAAGTTGGTCCGGCCATGGCCATTCATTCGCTGCTCTTCCAAATGTCTCATGGCAGTATATTATTGAGCAAAAATTGCCTGAGACACCCAGAGCGGGACATATGCTGACTTCCCGATTTCCAGTGGTGTCGCTCACCATCGTAGGGTGTCTCGTCCCATACACCGATCCCGAGCTTCTCAACGGTACCGGCAGCCAGGACGCCAACGCATCACCCTTCGTTATCGCCGTCAAAAACGCCGGAATATCAGTGGTGCCATCGATCATGAACGTCGTCATTCTCATCGCCGTGCTGAGCGTCGGAAACTCCTCTGTATACGGCTCCTCGAGAACCCTGGCCGCTCTCGCCGACCGCGGCCAAGCGCCCAAGATCCTCGGATACATCGACAACAGCGGGCGTCCCCTCGTCTCCATCCTACTGGCTTCATTCATCGGCCTCTTCGGCTTCATCGTCGCCGCCGGCACCGACGTCCGCGTGCAAGCCTTCAACTGGATGCTCGCCATCTCGGGCCTGAGCTCGATCTTCACGTGGATGTCCATCTGCGCGTGCCACATCCGCTTCCGCCACGCGTGGAAGTACAACGGCCACACGCTCGACGAGCTCGCCTTCACCTCGCAGCCGGGCTACTACGGCTCATGGATCGGCGTCATCATGAACGGGCTGATCCTCGTCGCGCAGTTCTGGACCGCCGTGTGGCCCGTCGGCTACGCGGCCGAGACGCCGGCCGAGATCGCCAAGGGCTTCTTCCAGGCCTACCTGGCCATGCCCATCGTCATCCTGTTCTACGTCGGCTTCAAGGTGATCAAGAAGACGAAGTTCAAGCGGCTGAAGGATATCGATGTCACGAGTGGGAGGAGAGAGATGAACCTGCCGGCCATCTTGGCGGAAGAGAGAGCCGAGCAGGCAACGTGGCCGTGGTACGTCAACTCTCCTCAAGCTTCTTTTTGGTTCTTGGTTTCTTTCTGGCCACTCATAGTTTGCTCCGAGAGTGTTGACTCCCATCCCATCCCAACCCGACCCTTTACTCCTTCCACCTCCATCCATCCACCCCCCACAAAATCAAGTATCCTGAACGAGGCATACATACTAAACTAACTCCGCGATCCTCCAGGTACAAAAGGTGGTGGAACATCGCCTTCTAGATCATCGGACTCGATTAGAGACCTGCTTTTATTGGAGCAACCGTCCCCCCCCCTCCTCTCTTTCAAGTACAAGCGGGCTAGGTTTTCCGTGTAGCGACCGGCGCAGCGAGTTAAAGACCTGGGCTCCCTCGAAAGAAGAAATCGCGCGAAACGTTCATGTGTGGCTTGTTCAAGGTGTTGGAATAGTCGGCCATATGTATATACCACATGTTCATATTTTATCTCATTTGATATACCGGACCGAGCGGTGAGGATGCGAGGTGAGGATGAGAGAGAGTGGTCGGCGGCTCTTTATGTACTCTCGGCATTATTTATTCCCATTTTCTCTTTTTTTTTATAATATCGTACCTGTATTTCGTAACAGAGGCTTGGCGAGGCGATGCGAGGCCGCAGGGTAGATAGATAGATAGATAGTAGTAGATAGATGTGATTGATGTAATATATCGGCGGTGATGAATGATTGATTCCGGGAAGGGTTGGGAAGCTAGCAGCTGACTTGGGAGTTGGTTCTTGCTACCTCACGCTTACTTCGTGGGCTGTCCAGCTACTATGATCTGTAATTCGAGATTTCCTTCTTGTATAGCAAGTTGGGAATATCTTTCCTTTTTCTCTCTCCTTTTTTTTTTTTCCTTTTCCTCTCTCTCTCTCTCTCTCTCTCTTCTTTTCTTTTTTCGTTTTTAGGGTAGGGGGTAGGGGTCGGGGTCCGGACCGAACCGAAC